GAGGACTTTGCTGTTCGTTTCAAAAATATCAGAGAAATTTATGAATTTATTGATCTTGGCAAACGAATCACAAAATTAAAAGAAACCATTGACAAAGCATTCCTAAAACATGAGGAATCAATTATGCAAAAAATTCGTTCTAAGCTTCAAAATTGGTCTCCTAATGACAATAATGACAAATTAAATGTAAATTCATGTCAAAATGAGTTTTTAGAATTGATTGAAAAAGGGCTACAAAAAATTCCAGATTGCAATGATACCAACTGTGAAGAATGTGAAAAAACAAATAAAGAAAGAATTGAATTGGAAAAGTACCTTAAGGATAGGAATAATGAGATATGTGAAACGGAAACTAATCAAACAATTAAGAATTATATCAAACTCAATCATCAATCTGCATCCATGAAACTTACCCAAATGCTTGAAGCCAGCATTCTCAGAAAAGGTATTTCATCTGAATCTCTTCACATAATTAACAACCGCTTAGAAGAGATTTTAAAAAAAACACCAAATGGTGGATTTTCTGATAACAAACGTGAAAAAGAAGTTGAAAAAATATGGAATTTATTGCGAAATAATATGTCATCAAAACACATTATTGAACCAGTAGTGGAGCAAATAGATAAGGAAGTCAAAGATATATTTTCTCATTTATCATCAGAAGGATTATATCAAAAATACATAAATGGAAAATCTCCAGATTTATCTAAGTGCAATGCATATAATAAATTCATGTTTCCAAAACCCTTGAAACTGAGAGACATCTGTACTCTCCAGGGAAATCTTGATAATTTGGTAGATTTAATATTAGTAAAAAGGGCTTCTTATCACCCTGGAATTGTACGTGACCTCACAAGAGAAATAGACAAAACACTTGATGAGAATTCAAAAATTCTTCGGAAACCATTTTTGCCAGATTTCAAATGGAATACTTACTTATATGCTTTGTTAAAGTTTAAACCAAAAATGGTAAATTTTCAAAAAAAATGGGACATGGATAATACTCCACTTGGCATTCTTGATCAAAAGAAAGATGAATATTTAAATATGATTGGTACTAGGCTTCAATATGGACATACACTTGTTTCTGAGGGCCATATTATTGGAGACTATTTATTGAGGGTTATTCATAAAAAAGCAATGGATGCAGGAAGCTCTGAGCGAAAAAAAGCTGTGTGTGATATTGGTTGGTTGACAAATGCTGAATCAGTTAGACTTAAATATTTTGAAAAACTTGCTGAACAAGTTCGAAATGGTGATAATGAAGAAGCTATACAGTTTTTTTCACAGCCAAAGAGATGCATAGAATATTGGTTTAAATCCACAGTTGATGGTAATGCAAGTGGAAATCCAGAGCAAAAATACAATGATACCTTTAGAGCAGAATTCAGTCGAGTCTTTCAAGAAATTCACAACTGTCAAAGTTTTGAGAAAATCAAAAAATTTGTAAATGATTACATGACACAAGTTGATAAAGTGGATTACAAATTGGATCTTGAAGACATAAATGAAGATTTAAAGATATTCTATAATGCTATTGAGGAAGAGCTTGAAACTAAAAGGGATGGTTGTTATACAAGAAATGAGCCTTTTCAAGCCCCATCTAATGATAAATCAATCATGGAGATACTTGGATGCACAGAAGCATGTTATTTTTGTGGAGCTTTGTGCTGGGGATCTTGGGGTCATCATAATGATAGTGGCGAAACAAAAAGACATCATACTAGCCATCAACCTCGAGGCCTTGGAATAGTCAGTTATAAAGGCACAGATGAACTTGTTGCTAGGCCATGTCATAAATTGGTAGATGATACGAATGTGTGGTATTTTGGCAAGGAGGACCCAACACTTTGGAGTGTTGCAAAAATTCAAGATTTCTCAGGTTGGATATTTGAACCTCACTACAAATACTTGTTCAATGATCTTATGTGCTGGTTCTTTGAAAAATTGCATGAAGATCTTGCAAAAACATATGGTCGCAAACCATCAACTAATGATGAATTGAAAAAGAATGGTTGTCTAAACTTGAGTTACAATGATATTATTAGCACACTTAGAACAAAAATTAATCCATTAAATTAGTGACAATATAAAAATTCAGGTCTAAATTTTAGTGATTGATTATAATAACTAAAATAATAAAATCATGTGATCCTGATTAAAGTTCAATAAAAGAACTTTTTATTCATTATATAACCTTTTTGTTGTCTTAAAAATATATTTATACATAAGATTCTAATTGCAAATTACAAAAAAGTTAGTAAGGCATTAATAATGAACCCATCTATATAACAAGTTGGGAGAGTGTTAATATAAATTTATGATTATGTGATTCAGAATGAATTGGCTATCACTAACAAATAAATTTTATTAGTGAATAATTTTGTTTATTTAGTTGAAACTAATTTATTAACTTATTTCTAAGTTGATTTATTGAACTTCTTATAAAGTTATTTTACAAGTATGTCAAATTTGAACTTCTTATATACAATTAAACTAATTAGTAACAACTTCATTGCGAACACTCTAATTGTGATTCAGCAATTTAATTGCAATATAGTACACTACTCTGTAAAAAATGACATTCCAGAATAAGAATGGTTGACAAAATTATATATGATGAAATTCATATTTATCTCCAAGGGCCATTTAACGAAATTGATACAGCCAATCAAATTAAACAATTTATAAATTTATTACCAATGATATATATGAGGCACATTTCATTGTTTTTTTTTGTTTTAATTTCCGATCTGCAAATGAATGAGAGAATTTATTGGTGATCGACAGGGCAAAAATGGTCAATCAGTGTATAAATTTCAGTGTGTAACTAATGCAGATTTCTACAAATTTAGAAACTATCTGCAGAAAACTGCTAATG